TGAGGCGAGCCGGCGCTTCCCCGCGCGGGGGCGGCAGCACGTGCCGGGGGCGAGCGCGGAGACCACAGCTATGGCGTCGTTACTTTGGGGAGGCGACGCTGGGGCGGCAGAGAACGAGCGGCTGAACAGCCACGTAACCGCCGCTGAGCAGGGGAGGGCCCACGGGCGGGAGCTAGAACAAGGACTCCCGAGGGAAGTCCCATGGGAGGGGAAGCGCCTCTCTGGCGTTTGGAGTGGGGTGTCAGGTGATGGGGGAGGTGTGGGCAGGTGTGGAAGGACCACGGGAAAGGACCCTCCCAGAGGGAGGGCAGACCTTGGGTTTGAAAGGGCGAAGACCCCTGGAAATCCTGATAGAGGACACAGCTGGTGGTCCTAGCTCTTCTGAGTGTTCTCCTCTCCTGATTTTCACCATTTAGCAGGTTTCCCATCTTCGTAGCCACCTTTCCCCTGTAGGTGTTGTGAACCACCTTTCACCCAGGTGCTGCCCATATTCAGACTAAGAGACCTCCAGAAGAGACTGGAAATTCACATCCTTTTGTGGGATAATTCATTCAGTGGCCCGACTGATGAAATCGTTAATCCTTACCATTGCAAAGGAAGCTGTTTGGGGTGGTCTTCCCTCCCGCTGCTGTAGGATAGCACCAGGCTTCCTGCTTGATGTCCTGCTTCCTAACATTGGTTGAAATTTGTGCCTTTCAATAGTTTTCAAATCTCGTCCACCCCAGGAAGAACCTCCGTGGTATTAGGAGTACCACAGTCCCAAACATAGGTGAGTGCTGTTAGGCTAAAGTAGACTTGCTTAATTAAACATCTTTGCTTTCCCCCAGTATCTGCCAGCTGAAACAGCTTCGACTCCTTTAATTTTGCATGCACGACCGCCCCCTACCTTCCCAATCACTTTATCTCCCTGGAGGTGACTATGTCATACACTGTAAAACCTGTGGAAATTTTAAGAGTCCACTGTATTTCCTTTCAACGTTTTTCTTTACATTCATTGTTCCTCTTTTGCCATTTTAGATGGCTCTCTTAACGCTGAAGAGGAAGATGAAGAAGACGATGTAGGTAAGAGACGTTTGTTTGCACGTGCTTTCTGGCGTTGCTCGGTTTATCATCACTTCCGGAATGTTAATGAATAGGATTGCGTTGGGAAAACACTGTCTTTGCTTTATTTTTGAATGAATACTATCAGACAAAAATACTAAGTTAGGAGGGGTGTATTTCTTTAGACAAAATGAAAACTGCAAGGAGTGGGTTAAGAATATTCAGTTTTGCAAGGAAGAACTATTTGGTCCTGTCATGATTAGATGTTGGTTTGCTCAAGGTCAGGGGTTGGTGCAACAGAGCATAAGAAACTTGATCTTTGTAAAAGAGGCAATTCTCGGTGCTATGGAATTCCTTCTAGAACTTTCTTTAGAAAAAAGATAAGACTAAGCCGTAGTTGTTGTGTATGCTTTACTGTGTGGGAGAAAACAGTTAATTAGATGCCATTCAGGAGGTTTGATGCCTTTTTTATTTTTGCTTTCCTAGTGGATCTGGCAGCCAATTCACTCTTAAATAAATTAATCCGTCAGTCCTTAGTAGAATCCAGCCATCGAGTGGAAGTCTTACAAAAGGATCCCAGCTCTCCACTCTACTCGGTGAAAACCTTTGAAGAACTACGGCTGTGAGTACCTTAACTCTTAGTGCGTAAGAAGCTCATGTCAGCAAGCACTAACTAGAATGCTGGCACTAAAACCACCAGAATCCCATTTATTCTCTAGTATGCAGTATTCAAATAGATTGTAATATATTACATGCCATTCAGCTATAACTCAAGGTGTTGAGGTGAGGAGAAAGAGCATCCTGCTTGTGGGCAGCGCTGTCTCGTGGGCTGGGGTCTCTGAGTAACAGGTAGAGCAGGAGAAAGCCGGCCGCGGCAGCACACAGTGAGAGCAGCAACCTGACACTCTCACCAGCATGCCCTCCCCCACCATAGTGGACTCTTCCCTTTCTCAAACCAGGAGCTAAAATAAATCCTCCTTAAGTTGCTTCTGTCAGGCACCGTGTCATAGAAAAGGTCCAGTGCTCAGCTGCAAAGTGGCTTCCCTCAGAAGTGTACCTTGCAAGTGTACGTTTCTGAATGTGGTACACACAACAGAGAGACTGCTGACCACAGAGACTTTGCATGTCTGAGAGTTTTATTTATTTATTTAGCTACCTTTGTATCCATCTGTTTATTTATTATTTTACAGAAAGGAAGAGTTACTTAAAGGGATTTATGCAATGGGATTTAACAGACCATCCAAAATCCAAGAAATGGCCCTCCCGATGATGCTCGCACATCCGTGAGTTTACAGGGTAGTGGTCTTCCAAGTTGGCTGTTTTTGGTTTCTTCTATTTCTTCCCAGGATCTTGTGTTCAGTTTATACCCAGTCCTCTCCTCTGTTTCACAGTCCCCAGAACCTCATAGCACAGAGCCAGTCTGGAACGGGAAAAACAGCTGCCTTTGTCTTAGCAATGCTCAGCAGAGTGAATGCCTTGGAATTGTTCCCACAGGTAAGGAAGGACTGCGGTGGAATCCTCGTGACTGCAATGCCGGCAACGTTTCAGCAGTGCCAGGTCTTTCCGCAAATATTAGGATTACTGCAGGAAAATGACAGCTAGGCATTCCTTCCTAAAATCCTAGCGCATTGGGTAGAGTATGCGGATAGTAACGAGTGATGCCCAGCCCCAGCCTTAGAGTCCAGCTGCCTCCAGTCCCAGCCTTGCCACCGCTGCCCATTTCCCAGAGTCCGTTTCCTTTCTGTAAAGCCATCTCTCTAAAGGCATGGCTCATCATTGACCTGTTCATTGACCTGTGCTGAACTCCTTACACCCCATGCAGTGCCTGGATCGTAGTGGCAATTCATTAAGCACTGAATGATAACCGAATGTGTGAGTATGTGTTCTCCTCCTAAAGTCATCTTGTGGGGTCAGTGAAGCCACCTACCCTTTTGGCACTGTGCTTGGTTTTAAGTAGGCATGTAGTGACGGCTACTCAGCTGTAGGGTCAGGAAGGCATGCAATTCGCTCATTTCTCAGAGTGTCTTCCTAGGATCACAGAGTGCCTGGTTGAGGCACCCAGCTCACAGTTCTGGCCTCGTTTTTTTTTTTTTTTTCACAAAAAGAATCTGGTACTGTTTCCCTTTTTCCTCCAAAGGGCACTCAGAAGTTCTTTCATGGGCTGACTTCCCATATGTGATAAAAGCCTTCCTCAGCCAGCTGCCAGCGATTCCTATAAATTGTAGATGCATGTGATGCAGGCCAAGTGCTAGGAGTGTGCTTTCCACACAAGGTTATTGAAATTTTAGTATCCATTAAATTATTCAAGAGGGCCACGTTTGAGCCCATGTTTTGAAAATGTGTGTGGAAACTCTTTCTAGTGCTTTGGTGGTTACCTTCTCTACCATAGACCCTGAACATGAACACTTTAAATATCATCAGTTTCTTCCATTGGCGGTCTTCATTCAGCAGTCGCCATTTCTATGGGAGGGCATCGCAAACGGGCATAGGAGGGGAACAGTATCCTGGCAGGATTATGCATCTCTACTATGGATTAAGCAGATCTTGCCAGAACAGGCAGACTCTTAGGAGGAAGTAGAAGGTGATAGGTATTTTACAGCTGTGGTCCATCATGCCTTCTTCATGGACTCCCAGCTCCCTACATCCCTTTCTCTCTCCGTCAAAAGACAGTGGCCAGTAACTTGCGTTTTTATATAGCCCCATAGAGAGAAGTCTACCAAGTAACCATTTCTTTTCCCTTCAGTTCCAATGCCCCTAGTATTCACCTCAAACCTGTCAGCTACTTATCAACTGCCAAATTATATTCAATTTAAAATGTTTCTTCAGCTAGAATCTTCAGTGCCCTTTCTGTGACTCTTCCCGTGCAACTTTTAACTGTGGTTCCAATGTGAACAGTGGCCTGTATGAACCTGCCCCCTCCCCTCTTCTATCTCACAGTGCCTCTGCCTGGCTCCCACCTATGAACTGGCTCTACAGACTGGCCGTGTGGTTGAAAGGATGGGGAAATTCTGTGTGGATGTTGAAGTGATGTATGCCATTCGAGGAAATCGAAGTATGTACCAGTCAGCCTGTCTTGGCTGTTTGTTAAATCCTGGCTTCACACCTAACTCCCCTGCTTTCTCACCTCTGAAGTGGGGGACATATCTCTCAATGAAGCAGTCCAGGCTTAAGCACTGGTGCAGCCTGGCGTAAAATGAGGGTGCAGCAAACAATACGTTATTTCCACATCTCGTAAGAGGATGCTGTTTTTATGGTCTGCTTTTTGAGACTTGATGGTTTTGTGCCAAACAAGTTTTATTGGAGATTTTTCACTAAAATACTACATGCTTATCATGGAAACCGAAACGTTAAAGATGAGGAGAGGGAAGTATGCCCTGCTTTGCCCCAGGAAGGGACAGGAGCTAGTCTTTGCTCCCTTGAGCCCATGCCAATCATCTGCATAATTGCTTCCTTGTGTGCTCACAACATGGAAGCCTGTCACACCACCCTCCGACTGGCTTCCCAGCGTTTCATGTTTTTTACGTCTAGATTATTACCGAACGTTTTTCTTGTTTCCCATTTGGAAAGGCTTTGTTGTTTGGAGGGTTTGGTTTGATTTGGGGTGCCGGAGATAGATACTGGGCCACGGGCATGCTAGCTGAGTGCTCTCATCCTGAGTGTCCCCCAGTTCCTGTAGCTGAGCGCGGTCTCTCAGCTCATGCGGTGACAGACTGGCTGTGAGTGTCACCCCCACTGTAGTCTCCAGAACAACTGGCATCCCCTCCTGTACTGCCACACCTGACCAGTGTCCCCTTAGCCATGCCATTATTTCCACGGGACAATAGAAATGTGGGATGTGGTTTTATTTATTTGCTTTTGGTTTTGGTTTTGCTGTTGTTTGGTTGGTTGGTTGGTTTTTGTTTCATTGGGGTAGGGGTTGGTTTGTTGTTTTATTTGGTTTGGGTTTTGGTTTTGGTTTTTTTGAGACAGTGTCTTGAACTTATATGAGTAAGTAGTCATCTCACCTCAGCTTTCTCAGTAGCTGGGCCTATAGAATGTCACAATATCTATTTTATCAAAATGAAGCTTTTTAAATGACCACAGAGCACCATCAAATATATAGGACTGTAATTACCATAACCCTAGAACTCTGGAATCCATCCTAAAATTCTGCAGCATCTAAATGCATCCATGCCCCCTCAGGGTTTGCACTTGGAAAATGATGCTGTATTTCTCTTACCACCAAGCACTGTATGATTTCACCCTGGCCTGTGCCCCGTGACAGTGAGTTGAGCTGTTTTTATCTAAGGAACACTGAAAACCCTTTTCTCCGCAGTTCCTAGGGGCACCGAAGTCACCAAACAGATTATAATCGGTACTCCCGGGACTGTCCTAGATTGGTGTTTCAAGCGAAAATTGATTGATTTGACTAAGATCCGTGTATTTGTCCTGGATGAAGCAGATGTGATGATTGACACCCAAGGATTCTCAGATCAGAGTATTCGTATCCAAAGGTAATGTGCGCATTCATCCGTTCCTCCTAGATTTTCAGGCTAAATGATCAATTGTGTTTGTCTACTCTTCTAATTACTTCTATTGCTTGATTTCTTGCCATCTTCACCTTTGGACTGACTGGTTTTTCACCAGCCCAGGGACCCCTCAGACTGCCGCAGTGCCTGCCTGCACCCTGTGCTGTGCCTCTCTGCCCTACTTTTATTGGAGTGCAGGCCTACAGGTGAAGTGTGTCCTGGATCGCACAGGGTGTTGCCAGTCACGTTTATATCCCGAGCAGAATCCCGATGGAATCTGCTGAAGGCTGTGGTGGCTGTGGTGACTGTGGTGGCTAATGCGCTAGAGTAGAAAGCACGTGGTGCTGGAGCAGGTCTATCCCTGCTTCTGATTTGTAAGTGAATCATACTGCTTCCTCGGATTCCTCTGCCAGATCACCCGAAGGGCTTCCAATAACACAGTTCTGGGCCTTCTCACACTCGCTGCCTTGAGATTTGGAGAGGGAAGTTAAGAATCTGCATTGCTCTTTTTCTTCCTTTCTTTCTTAATAAAGTTAAGGTGGTGGTGGACGCCTTTAAGCCTAGCACTCAGGAGGCAGAGGCAGGTGGATCTCTGTGAGTTGGAGGCCAGCCTGGTCTACAGAGCAAGTTCCAGGATAGCCAGAAGCTGTTACACAGAGAAACCCTGTCTCAAGGCCGGGGGGGGGGGGGGGAGAGTAGTATTTACTTAACTTTAAATTCAGTAGTATTGAAAGTCTGATAATGAGAAACAGCAGTCCCCACCTGCTCAGTCCTGAAGCATGCCTGTCTTTTCTGATATCGATCTTCAGACCTTCAATAATGTGTTCACCTTACTGTTTTCGTGATGTAAAGTTTTTGTCTCCTCAGTATAAAGAATAGGCCTGAATTCTTTTAAACTATAACCCTTGTCCATTCTCTGTTTCCTCTCAGTGCTTAAATCCTAAGAGTTTGACTATGCCAACCCTGCATCCTTCTAAGTATACGCATGTGAACACATGCATTGTTCACTGTTGGGCCTGGCACTGTAGTGTTAGTATTATTTTCCCTCTAGAGTTGTTTATTGCCTTTTTCCTGTGCATTATCCCTGTGTAAGGATCTTTAGCTTTTCCCTAACCATTCTATCATAAGTGTCATATGCAAGTGGTTTCTTCACATAGTCAAATCATGCTTTTTATGTTTAAAATGTTCAATTATTTCTTTTATTTTTGAGATTATAATATAATTACATTATTTCCTCCTTTGCTTTCCTCCCTCCAAATCTTCCATGTGCCCCTCTTTACTCTCTTTCAAATCCATGGCCTCTAATTTTAATTGTTGTTAGATACATATATGTATATGTTTGTACATAGATTCCTTAGTAAAACCTGCTTGGTCTGCGTAATGTTACCTGTGTGTGTGTTTTTAGGGCTGACCATTTGGTACTGGGCAACCAATTGGTGTGCTCTGCCCTGGGGAGGACTGTTCTCCTGTTCTCAGCATGGCTTGCTGTCTGCAGTGCTTTGTGTAGGGTTGAAGCCCACAGATACGCGTAGTCCTCACCCCAGGAAACTTTCTCTTTGCAGCAGACAGAAAGCATTATAGAAAACCACAGCTGATCAAAATGTAGTTGTAGAGCCGAGTCCCATTGGATACCTCGACAGAAATCTAAGGCTCAGAGATCGCTGAGGAAGAGGGGGGAAGAGGCTGTAGGAGCCCAAGGCACACGTAGTCTGCTGTGATACTGTGTTTCCTAGTAATGTCACCCACAAAGCATCGCTGACAAGACTGCTTCAACAGGAGCTTAGTGAGGACAGCAGCAGGAGACATGCCAGGGTGGATGAAGGAAAGACCATGAGGCCTCAAATCATCCATCCACTGACTTCTGTGCCGGTGTCCTGCTGTATAGTGGAATCACGGCTGTGCTGTTGGTTCATTGGCTGCCTTGCATCTCCTAATTCCTGGGTTCTTGTGTAATCCCCCTAATGTGCTGGGTTGTATTTTCTGGTCTCTTTTCTAAAGCATATAAGAAGTTCATGGTTGGGGTTTTTTTGCTTGTATGTGTCTCTGCATGTTTTTAATTGTCTTGTAAACCTGGTTTTTGAGTGGTATTTATTGCATAGGAATCCTGTATTAAAAAACCGTTCTTCCTCCAATTTCAGATGCTTATTGAAAACAAAACAGTTTTCTGGGGTAACTTTATATTTAATTAGCCCTGTGAGCGTCTGCTGCTGTGGCTGAAAGGTTTGGTGTCACCCTGTTCTCCCAGACCTTGTCTTTAGCCTACCGCTGGGGTCTCCTGCCGCCTCCATATCCTGATATTTCTCACTGGAGTTTGTTGACTTTTATTATCAAGCCTTGTGCCTGCAAGTTCTGGAAATTCTTGGAACTTGTTTCTTTTCCTAGAATGACCAACTGTTGAGAAAGTCAACATAGGACACAGGCATTGCAAACAAGTATTAAAAATGGAAATAATTACACATGTGTTACTAAAGCAGGGTGCCATTTCTGTTTCCAGGTCACCCATTCTCTATTCTCCTTCTCACTGTGTTTCCAGTTTGGAGAAGGACACCTGTCTTTCACCCATTGTACATCTTTCCAGAGCCACCAACAGTGTTGTCATCACGTGAGCATATGTCCTCATAGCTAAAGATCTTAACTACATGTGAACTTTAAACTGAAAAGTGCCCCAAACTTGGAGAATGAAAGGCTCAATGCCATGGTCAGATACTGAGTGCTTGTTAAGATGTCAGGTGCTCAGTATGCAAGACTGCAGCTGTTAGGGTTGTTCTTTAGTTTGGTAAGGAGTTTGTGGGATAAATAGAATTTGCCAGAATTTATATTTACACTCTACCATTAGTTTATGTTTGGATGAGATATGAGCAAACCTGTCTTTTGTTTTATGAAAAGTTCATAGATATAATCTTCATTTTTAAAATTTTAGTATATTAGACTCTGCGTGTGTGTATGTGTGTCTTGAGAAAGACTTTTTGGCTGCAGCCTGAGCTGATCTGGGACTAAGTATATAGTCCAGCTTATCCTCGAACTCAGGGCAGTCCCTACTACCTCAGCCTCCTAAATGCTGAGATTACAGGTGTGAGTCAACATGCTTAACGGGGGCATGTTTTTGTTGCTGTGATTTGGTGTAGCATGAGAGTACATGTCTGAAGCAGATTTAGAAGAATCGACTCTCACACCGAAAGCTGTGTCCTGTATTACCGGCTCTTCGGCCTTTGTTTCCTCCCAGAATGTTTTATTTAGGTCTATAAACCGGGTTTCCCCCAACCCTTTATTGAAATTAGATTCTTTTCTCATACAGTATACCCTGATTATGGTTTCCCCTTCCCTCACTCCTCCAAGTTCCTCCCCATTCCCCACTCCTCCAGATCCACTCCCTGTCTGTCTCTCATTAGAAACTAAACTTGACAAAATAAAATACAACAAGGTGAAGCAAAAACTTTTCATATCGAAGTTGGACTTGGTGACCCAACAGGAGGAAAAGAGACAGAAGAGCAGGTACCAGAGTCAGAGACCCACTTGTTCTCGCTCGCAGGAGCCCCATAAAAACATTAAGCTAAAAGCTACAATATATACTCAGAGGACCTGGTGCGGCCCCTGTCAGCTCTTTGCTGGTGCTTCAGTCTCTGTGAGTCCGTAGGAGCCTTGCTCCAGAGGCCCTTGTCTTCCTGCTGTCCTCCATCCCTCTGGTTCTTACACTCTTTCTGCCTCCTCTTCAGGGTTCCCTGAGCTCTGGGGTGAAGGATGTGATGGAGACATCGCACTTAGTTTTGTATACCAGTCTTAATTTTTCTCTCCTTAAAACTCATTTTCCCTGGAGAAATTTTTATATGACTCCAGATATTTAGGTGCATGGCTTAAGTATACATATCAAGCATTTACTGAAAAGAAGTCATAAATAGATTTATTTTTTTAAAAATTTAAATTTTTTTAGTAAGCATATAATTTTATCATTACTGATAAATTTGCATAATGATGCGGTAGATGTGCCTTTTATCTTTATATCAAGAATGAAATATTGTCCGAAACAAAACTTATTCTGTATTTTCTAGAGTTGCTATGATTAAATTGCCAATGCTGGAAATACCCCTTTGTGTAAGTATTTAATACAAGCAGTGGAAATGTGTTTCATACCATTTTGGAAATTGTTAGAAATTTTTCCTAATCCCAAGCCACAGTTAAGAATTTTTCCTTAATGGAACTGAAGTCAGCAACTGAAGCAGTTAAAGTCAAATACCCAGCAATTACAGCATACTGACTTGAGAAGACCATGTGAGAGCAGGGAGCTGTGTAGGACTCATCCACATACAGTACAGCAGTGACCAGTCTGAGCCAAGTGTCTCAGGCCGCATTTGCTGATAGTTTGTATGGCCTCAGTGGCACACACAGCGTAAGAACCCAGACTGCAGTGAAGTTGCGCTATGCGACCCAGGCAAGCTCTGCTAGACACACCTCAGGTTCATTATGTGTTTTCCTTTGAGTTCATTGTTGCAACCTATTTGACAATCCCCATATTCAGTCACACAACCCAGACGGGTCCTCAGCCCACAGTAAGACACTGTACTGTAAGCCATGGTGGCAGCTACTCCATGTCATGTTGATGGATGCTCGGGACAACATGGTGGCACAGGCTCATTTGGGTGCTAGGACTGAGGTAGCTGAGGGGCTACTGTTTTCACAGCAGCACTCGGCCCTTGAGGAAGCCACATTTAAAAGTTTGGAAGTACTGCCTTTCTCTCTCTAAGCTTACAAGTCCGTGTCCACACTGACCTCTGAGATCCCTGGCCCTAGCGCCAAGTCTCAACGCGTTCCTCCAGGTACTGTGTTAATCTGTGTTTGTGCACTTCCTCTATCTGAGGTTAAAATGCCGTCTCTGACTTTCTTTTTCCTGTCTGGATCCTGCTGGTGTTATTTTCTGATTGTTTCTTTTCCATCGTTCCCTGTTCTGGTGTTCTGGATGTACCATCCACCTTCCCTCACTGATTTCAGTATTTTTGTAGGGTATTGTTGTTGCTATTTTGTCTATTCCGAGTTTACAACATGGTCTGAACTGGGCATTTCTCCTAGTTGGTTTGTTTGCTGCATCTGCCTTTCACAAAGGTGGACCTTCCTTCTCTGCCTACTATATAACACTAGCCTGCTCTTCCATAATCTGAGAGACTAAATTGCAGTAAACAGCTCTCAAGGTGGATCTCTTGGAAGCTTCACGTTAGGGTGGTTGTCATACGGGGGCATTAGAATAGAACTGTGTGGTGCTCGGGTCTCCTTCCAGGTGGCAGAGATTGGCTGCTGGCAGTCTGGGTGAGAAGAGGCTACCAGGAAGTATGCATGCTTTCATTTGATTCACTCCCTTCAGCCACGTGACTATCTCCACCTACCCTTAAGGCTCATAGCTCCAAATATGGAATTTATGCACCAGTCTCCCGGCAGTAAGTGTTTATCTGCTGAAGTGAGAGATCCAGCCATTCATTATGGCCAGAGTCAAGGGAGACTCCCCTCTTGTCCCTCTAACCAGTAAGTTAATGTGTTTATGTTGTAAAGTAAATGGGTCAGAACTCAAGATTTAGTAGTCAAAAGGGGCTTCAAAAAAGGCCCCTTCTACTTCCTACTCAGGAGGATACTGTATAATAATTGGAGCACTTGTGTTGGTTGCTCCCCACCCCCTGTTCTGATTCCCTTCTTCACTCCATCCCCTCAGATGTGTGCCAGTGTGAGACTGACTCTTCAGTAGGAGGAGACTGACGTGACTGCCGACCCTCCAGACTGTCTGTCTGAACTTGGCTCTGAGAGTCACATTCCATATATATTTTTCCAGATTCTTGGTGGCGGACAGGGACAGGCTGCTTGACTTGCTGTGTAAAGGTGGAGCTGATCACGGCACACAGCACCACATAAGCTGCAAGTATTGCACAGAGCAGCTGATGCCAGGGCTTGAAGGGCGACAGCCTGGCAGCTGGGTGACGGCCACCTTCCTTTCTCTTCCAGAGCCTTACCCTCCGAATGCCAGATGCTCCTCTTCTCCGCGACCTTCGAGGACTCTGTGTGGCAGTTTGCAGAACGGATCATTCCTGACCCCAATGTTATCAAGTTACGAAAAGAGGAACTGACCCTAAACAACATCCGACAGTATTATGTGTTGTGTGAAAACAGAAAAGACAAATATCAAGCCCTGTGTAACATCTATGGTGGCATCACCATTGGCCAAGCCATCATCTTCTGCCAGGCAAGCCTGCTGCCTGTGTCTTTGCCATGGACAGATTCCATACGAGCAGAGGGGAGACGGTACTAGGAATACATGCCGTCTAGCCAGGCTCCATGTTCAGTTTAACCCGCAGAACAACTTTGAGTAGAATCTCCAGTTTCAGGGCAAAACTTAGGAAGGTTGACTGATGGGATGGAATCTTAAATAAAGGTCCCTTTTAGAAGCCCTGCTGCTGACACCTCCACACGTGGCTTGAGGTTTGCTGTAGCTTTTCCCTGTCTATGGTGTTACTTATACTGATATCCCACTGTTTATTTTATGGGAGGGGTGTTGTGTTTTCTTTTTCCTCTCTGACACTTTTCATGTTCGTATGTTTTATTTTCGTCCCTACCATGTGAACATGCTAAGCCTTGTGAGCAGGTTGTTGAGACATGTCTGCTCTCGGCTGGCCGCTGCTGGCGTGTGGACAGACTGAAATCCTTTGTAGATGAACACAGTCCAGCCCTGCCCCAGGACAGCCATGGAAACTTGGCAGTGTGTTGGCTTTGCAATTGTTTTCTTTTTCCATTTAGCAAAAATGATGCTGATGAAGCAGCAGAAATGGGGGAGCTATTGTATTGTGCACATAAAGATGTTAATCACACAGCTCCTGCAGAGAACTCTTGTAGTGTTTGTTGTTTTGGTTTGGCTTCAGTTTGTGGAAAAGAAGGCCAAAGCTTGGTCAGGTTGACAGAATATGATTCTTAGAATTGCAGAGAATGCCATGCCACAGTCTAAGGGCTTCTTGCAAGACTTAGAGAGAGAGGAAACAAAATCCCTCTGCAGCTTTCACCCCACACCCGTGAGCATCCCAGGGAGAGCCAGCCTGCTTTGACCCGCTGCTGTTCTTTCTCTCCCTAGACCCGTCGCAATGCCAAGTGGCTGACTGTGGAAATGATGCAGGACGGCCACCAGGTGTCCTTGCTGAGTGGGGAACTCACGGTGGAGCAGCGAGCCTCCATCATCCAGAGGTTCCGAGATGGGAAAGAGAAAGTTCTGATAACAACCAATGTCTGTGCTCGAGGTATGTGAGAGTTGGGTGTCACTGTGAAGTGTACGCAGTGGTGTAAACACCACTGCAATCAAAATCAGAGCCTGCCACCCTCCAACATTGCTCTATCTCCTCCCAGCACGTTGATGAGATTTCTGTATTTCTCTGTCTCAAACCAATGCCTGAGTTGCATCATGCAGTGTGTAACCTTTGTGGCTGACTCTGCCCACCTCACATGATGCTACTGAATTTCCCCGGCTTTGTTTGCTACATGCAGCAGTAGAAGGATAGAAGGCTCAGAGCAGGGAGGGCAGCCTGTCAGCGTGGGAATAGAAGGCCCAGAGAGCATCGAGGTATCCTAGGCGCATAGGGTTGAAAAGTATTGAAGGAAGGAAGATAGTTCGAATTAGTTCTTAATGCTGGTATTGAACCCCGGGCCCTGTGCTTGCAAGGTGGGAGCCACGTCACTAGCCACGAGAACAGTTCAACTGGGTAGGGAAATACAGTGGCTTTGGAAAATGGCTGCCTGTATAACTGGAACTGAATATGAGGATGAGGTGAACCTGTGCATAGCTGGGTGGCTGGAGGAGTGTGTTCTAGGCTGTGGCCCAGGTGCCCTGGACATGGCTGTGGTGACCATCCTGTGAGACTTCAGAAAAGGGGAAGAAGAGACAGAGGGAAAAGCATTGTAATCTGGAATGTAATGTGGAGGTTGTAATGGCTGGGGCAAGAGATGAAAAACGACCTGATGCGAACCCAGTCATGGAGTAGAGTTGAGCTGCACCCCATAATGGGTGAGAAGACCATGGACCAGGGAGCCTGCAGGGCACTTAGCACCACAGATTGGGAGGAGCTTGGCGAGGGCCTCTCTCTTCCATTTCCCCGCTCACCTATACACATCCATGCCTTGTGCCTGTTTAGATTTCCGCAGATTTAGCCTTGTTTAGCATCCTTACCGAGCACCACAGGCACCGAGTGTGCAAGCAGACTGATCTGTGTTGTGACCCACTCGTGAGAATTCCTTTGGCAAATACAGTTCTTGGTAGATTTGTCCTGAAGAAATTATTGCAAGACACCATAGTGCCTTTCTTCTCCTAGGAATTGATGTGAAGCAGGTCACCATCGTTGTGAACTTTGACCTTCCTGTAAACCAATCAGAAGAACCAGACTATGAGACCTACCTCCACCGTATAGGGCGGACAGGACGCTTTGGGAAGAAAGGTCTCGCCTTCAACATGATTGAAGTGGATAAGCTGCCGCTGCTCATGAAAATACAGGACCACTTCAGTAAGTAGCAGGCTTTCACATGCACAGTGGACCCACAGACTTGCTCCTACCGGCCATGAGGGCAGTGAGGGGCTGCGTGGAGCAGAGGTCATGAGGGAATCGCTTCTAATTCATAGGATGAGAGTCATAACGTGGCCAAGTGATTACATGATTCCTTTGTGGTTAAGCAGAAGTTGTACGTGTCAAGTAGAAGTCACACGAGTTCGCTCTGCAGTCTGTAGAATTTTATGCCCATAGAGCAGTACCACAAAGTAACGACACCCTTAAGGATCTATTGTCTCCCAATTTCCTCTTTCATAGTTTCTCCTTCTCTTGTCTCCCCCTCTCTGACAGGACAGTCCTGACTTCTGAGCTTTGCAGCCCTTTCCCAGCCCCACACCTAAACCAGCAGCTTCGGCTAGTCAGCTGGGCCCCAGAACTGGCAGGATGCCCTCACGGGAACCTCAAAGGTTATATCACCCAGTAGTTGTACCCCCTCACTGGCAAAAGTCAAGTGTACTGGCACATGCCTTTAATCCCAGTACTCGGGAGGCAGAGGCAGGAGGATCTCTGTGAGTTCAAGGCAGCCTGGTCTACACAGTGAGTTCCAGGACCGGCAGAGCCACATAGTAAGAATCCGTCTTGAAACAAACAAACAAAATTACTGCAAGCCCAAGAGAGCACAGATGCGGGTGGGGAGCAGGGCAAAAAGGTGTTAAGTGCCGTTCTCCTGATGGGCCTTTGTTGGTAGCAGTGGGCACCCTCCCCAGGAAATGAACTCATAGAACATTTGGAGTGGAATTTCAGGCTGACTGCTGCCCATCCCACTGACCCTCTAAAGGATTGCTTAGGACCCCATCTTAAACCCCCTGGAGCGACTAGGAGATAGGGCCCATGCAGGCCACCGCTGTCATGTTAACTCTTGGGAAGTAACTACAGTGGGGAGGCGTGGTCCTCCCCAGCTTTTCTCACTGTCGACATCACCCCTTTTTCTCAAGGTATCTGGACATGAATATTCTCGATCCAGTCTATCTGTGCTGTGTTATTGTATGTGGGTCAGCTGTTTGATAAGTGTCTATCACTTGTACTGGGCTTTCTCTACAAAATGTTTCAGGAGCAGGTGTTCGTTTCTTTGTTGTTGAGACAAAGTCTCACTATGTAGCCCTGGCTGTCCTGGAACTATGTAGCCCTGGCTGGCTGCACAGAGATCCACCTGCCTCTGCCTCCTGAGTGCTGGGATTAGAGGCGTGTGCCACCACCACACCTGCTTAGTTAGAAACAGTTCTCTTCAAAGGTGTCACTGTTTTGAGAACTGTTTCACTGGCTGGCATGAACTTGCATTGAGGACCTGGGCTGAGACTGCTCCCATTCTCTTTGTTCTTTCAGATAGCAATATTAAGCAGCTCGACCCAGAAGACTTGGACGAGATTGAAAAGATCGAATACTGAAGAGAGGCCTTTGTTGTTTGTGGGCTCTCCTAGTTTGTGCGAGAATGCTCAGCAGGTTTTGAAGATAATTTTCTATGTTGAGGCTCTGTCAAGGTGAAACTGTCACAGATGAAAACTGTCACAGATGAAAAAAATAAATGTCATGATACTCTTCATTCTAAGACCCAAGATCTTTTTGAACCTATTTGATTCAAAGCATGTGACCATTCTAAATGAGAACTCAAGATTGCATCCTCTGTTTTCAGGAACCATCTCCTTGAGCTACTTATGAACCTGGCCACGAGGGGGCAGTAGAACATCACTGATTTTAAAATTTCAGCTGGAGACTTTAAACTGGCAGGACAGATAGAAAAAAGCCACCCATTGTCAGGCCTTGCTCACACCTAGTCCTTTCTGCATATTAATTTCCCCATTCCTGCCCCATACTCTCAGGTGAAAAGTATACTTTAAAATTTTGTGAGAGAGCATTTTACCGTTTAATATTTTAAGTGACATCCAGAATTTCAGAATTTTTCCCTCTTCTGCTTGTTAACTATCTTCAAATTAGGAAAGATTTATTCTGTCATGTGTCATGTTATATCATAGTCTTTGAAAATATGGCTTTATTCTAGACATTTCCCAAAAATGGGCAGTGAAGTTTTCAAAAACAAGAAGCGAGAATCTGGGGAGCTGCGGCTCAGAGGGTAGTGCGCTGGCTGTGCTGCCGGTGCCAGCCTCAGAGTCTGAGTGCACGTCCTCAGCCCCCACGGAGAGGCCAGACACAGTGGAGCGGCTCTGCACAGAGTTGGGAGCCGGAGACAGATGTAGTAACTCCCAGGCCCAGCCAGTCTCACTGAATGGCAAGCTCCTAGTGCAGTAAGAGACAGTGCCTCGGAAACCAGGTGAAACACAGTGATGTTCCTCACGTGCCCGCAAGCATCTGCACCCACATACACATGCATGCACACCCCATACATGCATGCATCACACAAACTCACCAAAAAATTAAACAAAAGCAAAATAAACCTAGACGTAACATGTCAGGGAATCTAAGATTTTGTTTATAAAAGCTTCGTGGTAGCAGAGCATGCTGGTGCATACCTGCAATCCCAGCATTCAAGGAGCAGAGTCAGGTGATCTCCACAAGTTCGAGACCAGCTTAGTCAACACAGCAAGACCCTGTCCCAAAATTTAAAAACAAACAAACAAACAATAGTTTGTTTCAAAGAAAAATTAAGTCTTCCACAATAATGTAGATGTATTTCTGTAAGAAAAAAAAAATTCCAAGACAGGGTTTCTCTGTAGCTTTGGAGCCTGTCCTGGAACTCTCTGTGTAGACCAGGCTGGCCTCGAACTCACAGAGACCTACCTGCCTCTGCCTCTGCCTCCTGAGTGCTGGGATTAAAGGAGTGCACCACCACGCTCAGCAGCAAATATGTTCTTCATTACCACATTGGCTACTTAGAAATTAAATCATGAACTTGAAGAAAAATGGGATGATGGCTAGAGTCTCAGAAAGCCCGAAGTCTGCAGCTCTGCCATACGCTACACTGCGAGTGGCGTCTCCAGTGCGTGATTGTCACCCTGCTGAGGATGCGGTCTGTCCAGTGAGTGATTGT